AACACAAGGAAATATGACCTTATGAACAAAAGCCAAGAGAAACAACAAAGTGAGGAATTTCAGAACTGGAATTTTTATACCAGAAATATGTCAGTTTTATATCTTTAATATGCTCAAGAAAGTACAAGGATATATAGCAAGTATCATAAAGTTACATGACATTGAAGTGTGAAATTTGAAAAAGAATTAAATTCCTGCAAATGAGAAATATAATTGAAATTAGAAACAGCTTTAAACATCAGATTAAATTAACTGAAGAAAGAATATGTAAACTGGAAGATAGATTAATAGTAATAATTAAGAATGCCATGTGGTTGGGGTACAGCTTGGTGGTAGAGGGTACAGCTCGGTAGTAGAGAGCATGCCTAGCATGCACCAGGTCCTGGGTTCAATCCCCAGTAGCTCCATTAATATAAATAAATAAAACTCTAATTACCCCCCACAAGAAAGAAAGAATAAAAAATAAATTTAAAAAATGAAAATGTGAAATTGTAAAAAAAAGGAGGAGAAGGAGAAGAAGAAGAATGCCATATAGACAAAGAAGAGTTAATATGAAAGAGTTTAAAGATGAAGAAAATACAGTGAGGAAGGTAGACAATACATCAAATTGGAGATTTAGGACAGGACTGGGCAAATGTTTCCTGTGAAAGATCAGACAGTAAATATTTTAGGCTGAGTGGGTCACAAGGTCTCTCTCAACCCTACCATTGTCATGCAAAATGACACTCAGAAGTACTCTGAGAAATACTCAACTCTGCCATTGTAGTGCAAAAGCAGCTGTAGGTGATGCTGTAAACAAATAAGCCTGGATGTTTTTCAATAGAACTTTATTTACCAAAAGATAGCATACTAGTTTTGGTGCATGGGCCACAGTTTGTCAGCTCCTAGACTAGGAAATAATAGGAAATCAGGGTAGAACAAAATTTGAGAAGATAGTGGATTACATCTCAATCAAGATATCTCTCCCTCCCCAATGTAAAATAATTAAATCTCAAAAGAAAAGGTAAAATAATCACTGGGAATTTTCCAGAAATAATAGAACACGACAATTCTCAGATTCATAAGGCCAAAAAATCCAAAGCAGGATAAAGTAAAAATAAATTCACAACTAGATAAATTATTGTGAAACTGCAGGACAAGAATGACAAAGAGATTTTAAAAGTTGCCATTAAAAATCTTTAAATCCATTCCCCTAAAAAGATGTGGAAACTGGACAAAAATTTCAAAAATATAACCATATCATGCCCCTGAAAACTGACCCAAGACAAATGACGTATTTATTTACGGAAAACTGCTAGAACTTGGGAGTGAAAAATGGTAGAAGCCTGAGATCTTCATACTGGAGTTAGTCCAGACACCCCACCACCAGCAGCAGCGTGGTTGATGCTATGTACAGTTTTACACGAGTGGGGCTGGATGTGAAAACCAGTAGTTGAACTGTCTGAGAGGAATGACTTGGAATGAAAGGTAAAAACCCACACTCTAGAGTTTTGTCAGTGAAAGTAGCAAAGTCGATAGGAAATGAGTGGGGAAAATCTGCGACTCTTCAACTTGAACTTGTGGTCCCATTTGAGTGAGCAGTGGACAAGAAAGACATTTAAAGATCTATTGTTTTCCTATATACCAGCAATGAACAATTGGAATTTGCAGTTAAGGACACGATACCATTTGTGTTAGCACCAAAGAAATGAAATACTTTTGGTATAAATTTAACAAAATATGCACAGGATCTATATGAGGAAAAGCTGTAAACTCTGATGGAAGAAATCAAAGATCTAAACAATTGAAAAGATATTTCATATTCATGGGTAGGAAGATTCAGTATTGTTTAAAGATGTCAGCTCTTTCCAACTTGATCTATAGATTTAAAGACTTGCATCCAAAATATACAAAGGACTCCTAACACTCAACAATAAGAAAATGAACAACCTGATTTAAAAGTGGGCAAAATATCTGAACAGATACCTCACCAAAGATGATACACAGATGGCAGATAAGCAAGTGAAGTCATTCTCAACACTGTCATTAGGGAATTGCAAATTAAAGCAATAATAAGATAACTAAACCTCACCTATTAGAATGGCTAAAATCTAATACTTTGACAACAGCAAATGCTGGCGAGGATGTGGAGCAACAGGGACTCTCATTCATTGCCGAAAGGAACACAATATGGTACACTCACTTTTCAAGACAGTTTGGCAGTTCCTTACAAAGTTATACGTGGGCTTTGTGTAAGATCCAGCAGTTGCACACCTAGGTGTTTACACAATGAGTAGGAAAATTACACAAAAACCTTCACATGAATGTTTATAGTAGCTTTTTCATAACTGTCAAAAAGTAGAAAAAGCCAGCCTTCTATAGGTGAATGGAGCAACAAGCTATAATACATCCATATAATGGAATACTATCCAGCAAGTAAAAAGAAAAAATCAGCTATCAAGTCATGGAAGGACATGAAGGAAGCTTAAATGCATATTGCTAAGTGAACTAAGAGTTTTAAAAGGGTGCATACTGTGTGATTCCAACTGTAGAATACTCTGTGAAAGGCAAGACTATAGACACTAAAAAGATCAGTAGTTGCCAGGTGGGAGAAGGGAAAAAGGAGAATAGGATTGAATACATGGAACACAAGGGACTTTTAGGGCAGGGAAATTACTCTGCACAATATTGTACTGTAAAAGGTGGTTACATGACGTGCATTTGGCAAAACCCATAGAACTGCACAGCACAAATTATGAACCTGATGTAAACCATGGACTTTAGTTAATCATAATATTTCAATATTGGTTTGTCGATTTTAAATATACCACATTAATGCAAGATGTTAGTGTGCAGGAGGATAGAGGGTATATGGGAAGTTAGAATTCTGTGAACCTAAAATTGATTTAAAGAAGAAAATATCTTATTTTAAAGTATTAAACGAAAATTCTAGATTTGAAAAGTAAAATGATCAGAACTTGAAATATTCTGGATGGGCTCAACAGCACATTTGAGATGGCAGAATAAATAATCAGTGAACTTGAATACAGATCAATAGAAATGATCTAATCTGAATATCAGAAAAAATATTTTAGGAACATGAACAAAATCTCAGAGACCTGTTGGACAACATCAACTATACCAATATCCATATAACAGAGTCCCAGGAAGAGAGAAGAAAGTGAAATAGGTAGAAAATTAATGGCCCAATACTTTCCAAATTTGATGAAAACTGTTAATATACAGATCCAAGAAGTTCAGTGAACCCCAAGTAGGATAAAGAGAGAGAGCCCCTACAATTAAGCACATCATTATTATTACTCTACAGAAAAGGCCAAGATCAAGAGAAAACCTTGAAAGCAACAAGAGAAAATTAACTTACTATGTTTAGGAGAATGACAAAGTAATTAACATACGACACCTCATCAGAAACAGTTGAGAACAGAAGATAGTGAAGTGACATCCAAAATACTGAAAGAAAAAAATTATCAGCCAAGAATTCTCTACCCAAGCAAAACTATTCTTCAAAACTTTGGGAAAATAAAGACATTTCCAAATGATCAAAGACAAAAAGAGTCATTACACATAGATCTGCCTTACAAGAAAAAGTTTTTATTTTTTATTTTCTACTTTCTACTTATTTATTTATTTGGTTACAAACGCACTTGGTTTACTCTCCTCATCAGTATCACTGATATTCTCACGATTCACATTTCCCAGTGCGGCTCCTCTTCTTACAATAGTTCGTGTGCAATCTCACTTACGGGCCTGGGGAGGGGGGCTTGGTCCAGGGCAGGGACGGCATTGGCACTCCACGTGGACAGGGTGGGTCGTCTGTCCTGCGTCAAAGAGGTACGGGTGAATGGGCAGCCAGGGGAGGTGGAGGGGGCCCTCCACAGTCTTTTTTTTGTGTTGGTCAGTGATTCTCCACTCATGCTCCTTCCCGGCTGCCCAGGGTGGGGGAGGTCCACGCAGCTCAGGGTCGGGCAGGGCGGGGAAGGGGGAAGGAACAGCAGCAGGCAGCCCAGGAGCAGGGAGGGCAGGGTGGGAGGGGCGCAGGGGTGGCCCTGGGGTAAGGCACAACACTGTCTTGGGCTCTTCTGGTGAGGAGTTTCCTCCCCTGCACCCCTGCCCAGCCCCTCTCTCAACCTCTCAACCCCTCAGCACCCCCATACACAGTCCCGGGAGCCAGGGGCACCTCCTGGGGTTCCTGAAATGAGAGAGCTCTGCCACCCAACCCAGTGCTGCAGGAGCTTGGAGGAGGAATAGGGGAGAGCCCCACCCGAGGACAAGGCAGGGAGG